CACAATCTGGACTTTTGAATTTTATTTTCTGAATTCTGAGGGGAAAAAAATAATTGTGAGATAAACAAACAAAAAACAGAACTGCAAAACATACACATTTTTTCTGTGAATTTTGAGTTATATATAGATACCTCTATTGTTTTTGTTGTTGTTGTTGTTGATGACACAGAATTAATAATAAACAAAAGTAATTACAAGTTTTTAGCTCACAATTTGGACTTCTGAATTTCTGAATTCTGAGAAAAAAAGTCAGAATTGCAAGAATTAACCCCCCCCCATAATTCATCATAATTGTGAGAAATAAAAATAAATAAAAAAGAAAAGTAATGCGAGATATAAGCTCTTTTCTGAGTCTGCATCTTGCAGTTGTGTTTTTTAATTGCCACGGTCATTCAAACAGCTGTCATATAAAATTAAATATACTATTTTTCTAATCCATTTCTTACTCATTAGAGTCTTAAAACATCAAACTACCCAGAGTTCTGTGCGAATGCTCAAAAACGTCTCATCTGACCGAAATCAGATCCGCCTGCTGACGTACAGGACGAGGAATAATCACAGCAGCTTTAATATTTACACATTTGTGTTTGAAAACCTTGTTGGCACATCGCTCATCAATTCTGGTTTTAAATATTTGTCTTTGATTTCGGCTCATTAAAACCACCAGAGCCTCATTAATTCAAATATTTAGTCAATTAAAGCCTGAATCCTGTATAAATTAGGGAAATAAAACGGCGGGGAAACCCAAACAGATTAAACCATTTTCCTCTCCCTCCAATAAATGATAAATTCAACCAGAAATGAAACTTCTGTCATCATTTATGTTATTTTTTTCCATTTTTTGGACACAAAAGCAGCAGCTCTTTTCCCATATAATGAAACGGGCCATTTTTACACAGTTAACAAAATATATCTGTCATCAGAATCTGATTAGATCTAGCTGTCTGTTTATAAACAGCAAATACGTTCCCTTTCATGGGAACTTCGAACTGTGTCCTCTAGGGGTCGCTATGGGGAAACCTAGAGGACGCAGTGTCTCGTTCCCTACTCAGGGAACCATGGTTACATAAGTAACCCGAGACGATTTTTTTGTAGACTGGAAATGTTAAAAAAAGTCTTAAACGCCTGAAATCATAGGCTGAGGTTTAATTAGTGCTTCTTCGATGGTGTGTTTTATTTTCTATTTCACACGAGATAAACTACAATTACAACAGTGCTGGACTAACAATATGCATTTCTCATTTTTAATGGATACTGATATCAATTCTTCAATCTCAAGATCAATCTTTTAGTTTATGCTGTTTTCTGTTGATGCGTGAACTTCGCTAAACATGATTTGTAGTGCACTTGCAATCCAATAATCACAATAAGCTAAATCTGTCATGAAAACAAGTTTTTATTACAGCCACCGTTTAAATCTTTATATTTCAACAACAAATTAGAGTGGAAACATAATTCTGTTATAAAAAAGTTGACAAAAACTGCTTCATGTGCTCATTTTTTTCTATTTGAGTATGTGTTATTATTAAATAAGTTTGTTTAATTATTGATTATTAAATAAAATTTATTTTTGATTTCAGTTTTTGTCAAAGTGCATCCTGAATTTTTGGTTTTGGCCCAGAATTTTCATTTTGATGCGCCGCTAGTTTTTTCTTCTTTCACTAAAGCCTCCATAAGTGAAAGAAATAACATTTAGGAGACATTAACACCTGGATAACCACAAAATAAAAAAATAATGACAAATAAAACAAAAATGTAAATTCAGCAAATTGATAATATTCATAAAAAATTTATTTGTATGACTTGATAAAATAATTGATGAATAATAATTAATTTAAAAATGATAAAAATTATAAAAATGTGAGTATGACATGATATTTAAATTTGTATATTGTCTGCTTTTTATATAATTTATCCGTTTAAGATAGATCAAATAAAAATAATGCAAATTTGGCGAATGTATAAGAATTTACATAAAAGTTAAACTAGGATTGATAAAATTAACAATTGTTAATTCATAAAAAAATATAAAAAATGGTATGAAGTGATATTTTTAATTTGTCAATAGTCTATTGTGTTATCTATTATTGATCAGCTTCTCTAAAAATACAAAATAATGATAAATAAAACAAATAATGCATTTTAGCAAATTGATAATATTCATAAAAATATTACATGACTAATAAAATAATTGATAAATAATAATTGATTAATTAAAAATGTATTATAAAAATGTGATGTGAAGTGATATTTTTGATTTGTCTATTGTGTTTTCTACGTATTTTCTTATATTCATAAAATATAAATTTGTAATGACAATAATAAATTAAAAATGTGATTATGAAGTGATATTTTAATTAGTCTATTGTTTTTTATCTTCTTCTCAGACGAGGACAGACCACACACATCTCAAGAGATCTCAACGATGTCTCAAACTGTGCTCAGACACCAAAGTCTCAATCAGCTGTCTGACCCGTTAGGAATTACTCGAATCATGTTCATCGAGAATCAACTCCTCACGGATCGGATCCGTCACTCCTGCTGACCAACCAGTGGCGGCGCTAGGGCGGGGCTATAGCCCCATCAGAAACTTGCTTAGCCCCGGCACAGCCCCCCAAGTATTTCCTACGTCAGTCAATTCACTATAGAGAAAGTGAAAGTAAAAAAACGGACTTTCTAATGCTTCATTAACGGCGCATATTCTCTGAGACAACGAGAGACGAAACTACTTCAACATATGCTGATAACTGTCTTAAAGGAGACATATTATGCCCATTTTTACAATATGTAATATAAGTCTCAGGTGTCCCCAGAATGTGTCTGTGAAGTTTCAGCTCAAAATACCCCACAGATCATTTATTATATCATTCTGAAAATGCCTATTTTGAGTGGAAGCAGAAACATGCATTTTTATCATTTTATCAATAAGATCAAAATAACGGTGCTATGGGTAGAAATGTGCAGATTAAGGGGCGGTAATATTATAATGGGATCCCTTTGCCACGTCACCAAGGGATGAAATCAGACGCGCTGGTTTTCTCAGACACTTGCAGAAAAAGGCTTCCCAAAACTAAGTTACTGGGTTAATCTTTTTCACGTTTCCTTGGTTGGTAGATGCACCGAGGACCTGATTATAGCGCTTAACACCTGGAAAAGTCAGATTTTCATGATATCTCACCTCATCGGTGCATGAAATAAAGCTGCTCTTAATTTTCATTGATGACTGCAGTGTTAATTATTTTAATTATAGGCCTATAATTCATTACATACATTAATAGACTTGATTAAAAAAAACAAAAACTTTTAAAAAACATTTTCAATGAGGAGTAAGCTAATAGCCTAAACTTTAATTATCCTCACAGCGCGTCATGCGGTGATTGTGGGGCAATAATTCCATGTAATTTAATAATAAAAGTAACCTAATGATAAGGCCTAATAATAAGAAGAATGTAACATGCCTACATTAATTGGAAATTCTAAATCCTCTTAATATTGCCAATTTTTTATGCTTTTGACAATATCTCTGGCTATATCGTCGACACATGATACGACAGCACGGGGAGGTTATCGCGTCCGCTATGCCACTCTGTGGAAATAGTTGTATGAATTGTCGGCACTTTATCTATTGTAAAAAATGGTTAGAATTTACCATGTTTTCCTGCCAGTTTGCATTGAGAGTGACTGACACTTGATGGTCAGAAAAAAATGACTAAACATATGTGCAAAATAAATAATACTATATATATTAATACTTTCTCTCTTTTCTATGTGTGCTTACAAATTGCATTTGTAAGTGTCATATTTGGCAGTTGGCATCAGCAGTTATATTACTAATAACAGTGGCATATGAGAAGTTTAATACCACAGAATTTTTTTTTTAATTTGCCTTTTTCGAAGCTGCTGTAGGCTATATAAAAACACAAGGTGGCTGAATTTGCATGCTGTTTAGATAGCTGAAGCTTATAGGCGTTCATTACTTTCACTCAATTTAATTAGTTTTTTAGCCCCCCCTAAGCCCCCCCAAAAAAAAAATCCTGGAGCCGCCACTGTAATATTATCAATAATTATTATATTAATATTTATTAATAGAATTTTTTTTTAAATTTGCCTTTTTCGAAGCTGCTGTAGGCTATATAAAAACACAAGGTGGCTGAATTTGCATGCTGTTTAGATAGCTGAAGCTTATAGGCGTTCATTACTTTCACTCAATTTAATTAGTTTTTTAGCCCCCCCTTAGCACCCCCAACAAAAAAATCCTGGAGCCGCCACTGTGACCAACAAAACCGCCTGTAAAACCACAAGCAGAAGTAGAGAATGAAGAGCAGGTGCAGGTCAACACAGATGCTGCTACAAACATACGGCGAGTGCTTTCAGGACAACCAGGTGCTCTGAATCCAGTCGAACCGACACCACATCACCTGCCGCTTCAGCCGTTAACGGCACGTGTTATTACGGTTAACGGTGGCAACCTGCGGCTCCTTTGATCCGAGCCGAGTCATGGCGAACCGCGGAGGCCCGAACATATGGAGAGTTAATGGAGGCAAGTGACCTAAATTAACGGCCACTCCAACACAAGCAGTCACTCACCATGTGTGTGTGTGTGTGTGAGAGAGAGAGAGAGAGAGAGAGAGAGAAAGAAGGTTAATTACCTCCTCGTCCTTCACTGTCGGCCGGTTTCACCTGGATGGGCCGGTTCATCTGAATAAGAAAGAGAGAAAGATGTTAGAACAGCAAGTGTGTGAGTGAGAGAGAGAGAGAGAGAGAGAGAGAGAGAGAGAGAGAGAAAGTGTGTGTGTG